CAATGGAATCTCCATCTTGGTGTCAGACTGAGACTGAGGCAGACTGAAACTGGATCAGTGATCTGACGGAAAAGTCATGCAATTTCCCAAATGAACATTCTGATTTTAATAGGAGGAGCCCGAGAAAGGTTGCCAATCTGCATGGCTCTAATAGGTCCACTGCAGGAGAGCCCTGTCCTATCCAAGCACAGAGCCTTGTGCTTCATTGGCCATGTCTACTGTGACTATGGAGGGAAATAATTTCCCATCAACCCACATTTATTTTCTCTCTTTTTTTTAAGCTTGGGTCAGAATAGTGATCTGGAAGGCATCCCAGAAGGTTAGTATTCCTAACTAGATTCTCCACTTGCTGGAAAGTAAAAATCCTGAGGAGACAAAGATCCTCTTCCCTGCACCTACTCCTATCACCTACACCAGGGGTACGCAACCTTGGCTCTGCTATGCTATGCTGGCTCAGGAATTCTGGGAGTTGAAGTCCACGAGTCATAAAAGAGCCAAGGTTGCCTACCCCTGACCTACACCTACTGCCATCACCATCTTTTCCCATGGCATCTCCCACAACAAAATGAGGGCAGCAACTCATTTTGGAAGTTTGGAGGCAGTGATTTTTTGCAAAGAAACATGTTCTCCTCCCTTCTTGAAGCCAGAAGGAAAACACTTCACTGAAGGGTGGAGAAAAGACCTAAATCCCCTTGGCCTACACCGAACTTTTAAAGATTAGCCAGGCTCAGTGCCAACTTTGAGTGCAAACTTGTAGCTTTTCATGACATTTTTCAAGTTACTGCTTTTGCCAAATGCTCAGTTCAAAACATAGAAGAACTGCAAAATATATTCCCTGACAACAAATTATTACAAAATGAGAGCAATGTTCTTATCTTAGAGTTATCTTTCTTGATGAGGTGAAGGTAAGTCCCACACTGATCTCTGGGAGGGTCTTTGAATGCAGTTGAATAATAAAATGGAATGTAGGAACACCATTCTATGTCCATCCGCTTATACATATGTTGTTTGAGAAACATTTAAAACATACACTAAAGTTTAACTGTCTAAAGTTTGACAGCTGTATATTTTATTTTAAAGTCATGCTAATCCAATGCTATTTTCAATGTGGATCTAAAACGTCAATATTTCTTTCATTGACAGTTTTGACTGGGATAGAAATATAGTCTCCTCTATATATTTTTCTCTTTCTTTTTCAGAGGGAAGGGAAGAAAAGAAAGTGCTAGGACACAGAGCTTTAAAATGTTAGTTCTAGGTTGCTAATTAAAGAGAAAAGTAACCTAGAACTAAGGAGAAATTTCCTGACATTTAGAACAATCCGTGGAACAACCTGCCTCCAGAAGGTGTGGATGCTCCAACACTGGAAGTTTTTAAGAAGAGATTGGATAACTATTTGTCTGAAATGATATTGTTTCCTTCTGAGCAGGAGGTTGGACTAGAAGACCTCCAAGGTCCCTTCCAATTCTGTTATTCTGTATCTTTGTCATAATTATGGTACTGGTTGATACACTAAATCAAAATTTCTGTATGATTTTAAATGTGCTAAATTATATTAAAGTCATTTTCAGTCCATCTGAGTTAAGGCATATTCCAGCAATCAAACAAAATGTTTTGGTCTTTCTCTCTTATAAAACTGTCATATTAAAGAGAGTTAAAGGGGAGGAGGACGAAGGTTTGCAATGCTCAAAAAGAAAAAAAAACCCATGAAACAAATAATGAATACAAAGAAGAGCATAACAATTAACCATTTTTTGTCTCCATCCAAAATAGTGCTTTTGTTTTGTTTTGCTTATTTCATTTCCATCCCAGGTTTAAAAATAAAGCATTTATGAAAAAAAAGAAATGGAATAATTTGAGTAATTGTTCAAAACATAGAATGATTTACATGAACAATAAGGTTTTAATGGTATAAATCAGTGGGAAAATGAGATGTGCACTAAATATTTCTTTTTCTTAAAAAGATGACAACATTCTATAACCTAGTTAATTTAGATGTGATCAAATAAATAATTGATCAGAGAAGGTACTTGTCATTTTAAGATGTGTAAATGTAGGGTCAATAAACATAGGACGAGAATGGGATTTCAGAAGCAACCAGGAGTCTTATGGCACCTGGATGACTAACAAATAAACTCAGTTCAAGTTCTAAATTGCCATTCTGGTTTAAAAGTGGATTAGATAGCAATCCCAACATGTAATTCACCGAGAATTATGTGCCGAACTATTAAATGAATATGAATAGAATTAAGGCCTTCAATTGATAAATTATATAGGTAGTCCTTGACTTACAACCAGTCAATTAGTGACAAAAGTTACAATGGACCTCCAGAAAGGTACTTGCAATTCAGGTTTGAGGTTTTGATGGGGGGGGGCAGTTCTGACTGCCCCTACCCACCCACCCACCCCGCCAGCAGTCAATTATTGTATTTTGGGCATTTGGAACTCTCCTGCATTATGGCCATTTGTCCCATCATCACACAACTATGATTTATACATTTTTTTGTGGCAGAAATCAGCATTTACCACTGGTTTCCATCAAAAACTGCCCATTGCTGACAATGGTTCACCTAATAACTATGGTATTTGCTTAATAACTGTAGCATTCACTTAATGGCTGCAGGGTTTGCTTTATGACCACATTTGCTTAATTACTGCCACAAAAATGGTCATAAAATTGGTTCTGTCCAGTGGTGGCCTTGACTTACAGTCAACTTGCCATATGACAGAATTCCAGGCTCCATTAACAGTCATAAGTCAAGAACTACCTGTATGTTATAATGGCAAAATAAGGAGAAGTAAAAAAAAATAAATTAGGGGAAACATTAGGGAATCTGTTCACTGGAAGATCATTTTTAAAAGAATGCCACTGAAATCATTTGCTAAGAAATATGTTTTGCATCCCTGCCAACAGGTTACTGTTTACAAAGATGAGCATTTCATTTATATTAATTATTGCTTGTTTCATATTTTAGCAATGATCCCCATCCTAAATTAAAATACTACTTTCCTGCAACTGTCTGCCTCTATACCTTCACCAAGTCCTTAAAATTTTCAAACTGTAACAACATATGCCACCTCCTCATGCTCCATCTGTCAGCTTTTTAGTACATTCATTCTCAGCTCTTCTGACATCTTTCTCTATAATTGTGTGCCCATGTGTTGTATACCTGTAAAAGGGAAGCAAAGAAAAAAAGTGGACATAGAAAAAAATAGTATTCATACCCCACTGTCAAGTTTGTATCCCTTCATTGGAGGGGAACACAATCTAAAATATGTCTTGTATATTAGAAGAATTCTTGACCAACATCAAAACAATGGTTCCATAAGGAAGCAGTGAAAAATTTTAAGTCTTTGTGGAATTTAATTGCTTGTTAATGTATTCTTGCCCTTCCCTGAATTTTGTTTTCAGAAAAAGGACTTTTACCCTTTCTCTTTTCTTTCACAATTTTTATGTACTTTGAATAAAAATGGGCAAATGGATCCATTTTGCTAACAGGGCAACTCTACTCACTGTATTTCTTTCAATGCATCTTTCAGGAAAATACTACCCAGCCTTTCTCTCAAAACCATTCCACTTTGTCTTCTTCCTTCAAAATTGAACATCCCAACTGTTTCATTAAAACTCCTTCTGTTTTTGACACCCATTAAATGGGTGGGGTAGAGAGACAGGCAGATGAAGAGGGATAGTAGCCATGAGGCCAAAATTAATATTTAAGGGGAAATTATTTCTTTAAAAATGGAAGGTGAACAAAGGATTTGGCTTTCTGCTGCTCTGCAGTTCATCAGTCCTAAAGCAGAAATCTGTTTCACATTAAATTAATGTGGTTAAAAGCTAACCACAATAATGCAGCTTATTAGGTAGAAGGGCAAACAATGCATCAACAAGAATTGCATCATGCCAATCACATTAATTTATGAATAAAATCTCGGTCCCTTTTCATTCTATCTTCTTTATCGTGACAGAAAGATACCCCACTTGCACTATTTTCAAATGCAATTGTTTGTTTTTTAAAAAAATGATATACTAACAGCTAATATTAACTGCACTGTTGTTGAATTTTTTTTAAAAAAGGCAAATAAACCTGATAGTTTCCATCCATGCATCCAGACTTAACATAAAACAAGTTTGTTTCTATATTGGGTATGATTCTGGGCATTTTTCCATCAATGTTCCCAAAATATTGTGGATACACACAATATTTTTTCTTATACAGAGATAACCTTAGAATACATTGCTCAGACATTACTTCAGTGCAGAAAGAATGCAAGGTAATATTCTCACAATTGTTCCTTATGTGATCCAATACAAAGTGCCAACCCATACCACTTCCAAGATCACAGCCACTTTTTCACTTGTAATGATCCACCAGTTGAAAGCTTCATGTGGGATCAGCAAAGGGTGAAGATTTACAGATAGTATTGCACCCTCTGAAATCCTTGTGTTTTTACCCCAAATAATGTGATAATGAGAAATGAGATTGTCATGAGATGTGCCTTAAAGACTAGTTATGTTGAAAGAAAATACTTCAAGTGTTAATATTTTTCACCTGAAGAGCTTACTTTCAAAAATTAGTTTATTCTGGCAGAAAGCACAAGCTAATTTTTTTTTTTTTTGGCAATAACTGATGTTTACTGAAGCATGCTTTTCACAAAACAGTTATAGGAATTGGATATGAGAAATCAATTGCAGACCTGATTGCATAACTGTCCTGGATATATCCAGGTTCAAACATAATAAGTCTAATACTGATCTTTCACAGCAAAATTTTGAAAATTGGGTTTGGGGCAGACAAAAGAAACTGTCAGTTGATTTAGACAAGTTTTTCAACAGAAATTATTTTTTTTATAGACAACAAATGGTAGAAATCCATTTGAGCTAGATTGTCCAAATTGGCCCAAAACGTAACAGTCTTCACTACTTCAAAATTATTAAGAAATTCACTTTGGGTGATATAAACTAAAAAACCAGAGCAAATCAAGTAATTTCTACAATGACTGTTGCTAGGAGATATTTCAGTTTAATCATGCAATGCAGAGTTAGGGTATAACCTGCTCTTACAGAATTCTTTGTCTTTGAAGCACCGAAAGAGATAGAATCAAAGTAAAAGATTTCCAAATTGCAGCTATACTACATTGCAAAAACAAAAAAGTATTATAGCAGAGTGAATACCAGTTCTTATTTTCAGCAATTAATAAGGCAATTAGCTATCCAATTTACAGTAGATGTTGGAATCTGGAAAATCTACCAAATGATACCTCACTACAACAAACTAAAATAATTATTTCATGATCCTAAGCTTTAGATTCTGAACATGCTATGATGGAATGTAACAGGACAATCTCTGAAGGACAAAGTGCTTTTTATCTCAGAGTGTGATATATCATTCTTCATAACCTTTCTGGAAATAATGGTTTTGGGTGCTTCTACTATCTCATGGCATAAAAATCTCAGAAGTATTGTTCTATGAAAGGGAAAAAAATTCCCAGCTCCTTTTTCAGAGAGCTACTGAGAATTCATTGTTGTTTGTAACCACTTTGCGCATTTTACTAGGCCTGTTTTGTCCCCAAAGGCAGAAAAATCCTATTCAAAACAAAATCCAACTTGTTTCCTTTTTGTATTATTTTAAAAGGACAGTCCTCTTGACTTCTTATCTGGTAAATTTGGATTTCATCTTTTCCTGAAGTTTTGTTCCAGCCAAAGTTGAACCTCTTGAAGATTGTAGAAAAAAGGGCCTTTTCCCCCCAGGTAAGCAATTTTTTGTCTTTGTACAATGCATACCCGCTCAAAGGAGACCCCATAAGCCACATTGGCATTATTGTCCATGCAATCAGCCACTATCTGGCACTGTGGTGGCAAAGAAAACTTCTTTAGAAGCTGGTGAGCAGCAGCACATCTGTCTTCTTGGTTCCTATGTTTCTTGACTTCAAATGAAGATGAGATACCAGGAGCAGCCCAGCCATCTGATGGGTGAGCCTCATCAATGTAGACTAACAGAAAGTCAGCCACACTAGAGAACTCTTCCACCAACTTGCCAAAGGCAGACAGCTGGTTTGTGAAGGGAGGTCAGGTAGCTGACCCAAAGTTGATTACAAGTGGGCGTTCAGATTTGGCAAAGTCTAAGAGATGGCATTCAGTACTGTACTTTCCCATGGAGCTTTTCCATCTGCAGTTGCTGCTGCTTTCAGCAGTGCCATTAGATATGTGGATGACATTGGAATTGGGAGCCTCTCCACCCAATTTCACCTATTGATTAAAACAAAAATATAATCAATTATTATAATTTGCTGCAATTTCTCTTGCATTGTTCCCCTTACTAAACAAATAACTCTTAGCTCCCCTACCTCTGAGCCCATTCAGAAATAAATTCTAGATGAATTTCCTTTCTTCCATTAGTTATCTGACAACCATTCTACTATACTCTGGCATAGATACTAATATTATTAGTAGATTAAGAATCAGTCTTTTTAAATAGCAAGTCTAATATTTCCAAGATATATAATTATTTCTTCACATTTTTTTAAAAAAATACTCAACTATTTATAACTAACACACATTGCATTCAGAAAGTATTCATACCTCACAATTTTGTTATGCTGCAGCTACAGTTGCTGAAATCCATTTTTCTCATTAATCTACACTCAGTACCCCATAATGACAAAGTGAAAATAAAATTTTATATATGTAACGTGTGTGTATATATACATACATAGTGTACAATATTATACATTTTTTACTGAAAACTGAAACTCATTTTCATAGCCCAGTGTCAATCAATGTATGCTTGTAATCACATTATAGATGAATAGATATTTAAGAAATGCTAGACATTGTGTTAAGGGTATATTAGTTGGGAACATGAGTGCACATGTATTTTTATACAGAGATAATATCATCTTCTTGTTCCATTCTTTGAGGAAAATGATCCAAAACTACTTATTTGTGTGTGGCAAAATTATGTGAATTTATAAAATTAACAGTTCATTGGAATTTGTAAGATTAAGAGTTCATTGGAACAGGAAATTAGAGCCAGGTGTTTCAATCAGTGAGATGATAATCAAGTATGAATGTGGGAGGTCCTACCATATGTAAAGAACAGAATTCTGAATAGTCACTATTGAAGTCTGAATATCATATATGTCACAGTATCAACAAATGAGGTTTCTTATTGTTGATGCTCACCAGGCTGGAAAAGGTCATAAAACCTTTTGCAGTATGGATTCCACCAGTCCATTTTTCAGGCAGATCAAGTACAAATCATTTTCCTCAACAAATACATTGTGATGGTATAGAGTGTTTCATGTCACAGTAAGTGTTAACAAGTAAATAAAAATAAAGAAGTATAATATTTTTGATTCATGTGCTTAAATGGGTCCTCTTTAGTGTTAGGACTTGTATGGAGAACAGAACACATTTTGGGTCACATTAATGTAGAAATATTGAAAACTCACATATGATCCTGATAGAATCTCTCTTTAATCATTTTTAATGGAATTATAAAAACAGAGCGTGACCTACTCTTTTCATTTAGGACTGCTATCATGAATTCCTTTAGTTTTCTCAAGGCTAAACATTTTCATTTCTTTAATTCCCTCCCTAGAGTTAAGTTTCTAACTCCCCAGTTATTTTCTTTGCCTTTCTTTGGTCCCATTTTAATTTGTCTGAATCTTCTTAAAATATAGTATTCAAAACTGGACTGCATAGGTGAGGTGAAGTGTGACTAATTCAAAATAAAATGGAATGATTACCATGATTAATGTATTGTACTACTGATGCAGCCTCAAATGTATGCATGTATTTATCTATTTTGCAGACACCTTATATTGCTGATCACATTCAGGTTATGATCATGTACAGTCTCAAGGACTTTTGGACATGGACTGTTGTCAAGCCATGTATCCTTGATCTTATTGTGATGCATTTATTTCATTTTCCTAGATTTTTTTTAAAAAAAGCTTTCCTTTCTTGGTTCATTTTTTAATCCATTTTTCTCAGTTCTATCAAGATGTTTGAATTTCATATCTCTTCAAGGGTTTGAATTATCTTATCCAATTAAGTGTCATAGCCAGATTTAATAAGCATTTTCTCCACCTTGTCATTCAATTCATGAATAAAACTGGTGGAAAGTATCTGGTCCAGGACTGCACTCTTTTGGCATCTCATTTAAAACCTCCCTCTACTTTGATGAGGATATGACAAACATTTTAAAGTATCATTTGCAAACCAGCTGTGGATCCACTTAATAGATGTATCATTCAGCCCACACTTAACTTGCGTGCTAATTAGAACATTTAGTGATTTCGGATGACCCTAAATTATCCTGTGAGCTTCTAGACCATGCTACATGTATGTCCAGGACCAAGACAATATGCCACTCCATGTAATCAAAACCAGGATTATCCTATAGTTATTTATTTCTTCATTTTTAATCCCACCTTTATTATTTTTATAAATAACTCAAGGCAGTGAACATACCTAACACTCTTTCCTTCTATTTTCCACACAACAACAACATTGTGAGGTGAGGTGGCTGAGAGAGAGAGACTTACTGGCCCAAAGTCACCCAACCAGCTTTCATGCCTCAGGCAGGAGTAGAACTCACAGTCTTCCTTTTTTCTAGCCTGGTGCCTTAATAACTAGAACAAACTGGCTCTCAATTTGTATTAAATATAAAACTAGTTCTGTCAGTTGTGGCTTCCTGTTTGCTTTTCCAAATTATAAAAAGTAAGATTGATATGGTAATACTTCCATTCTGAAGGTTTCACTAAGCAATATTTAATGCCATTCTTTAAAAAGTGGGAACTTAAAATCAGGAAGGAGGAGGAGGAGGAGGAGGAGGAGGAGGAGGAGGAGGAGGAGAAGGAGAAGAAGAAGAAGAAGAAGAAGAAGAAGAAGAAGAAGAAGAAGAAGAAGAAGAAGAAGAAGAACAACAACAACAACAACAACAACAACAACAACAACAACAACAACAACAACAACAACAACAATAACAACAACCCTGTATCCAGGATCTTTGCTATCATTGTTCTTTCACTTATCAAACTTTCTTGGTACCAAGACATTGGTTTAATTATGTTCAAACAAAGGAATATTTAACAACTGCCTTCCAATAAAGGGATCACAACTGACTTGGCAAATAAATAATACCAGTTTCATGTCATCATAAGATATCCCTTAGTATGGACAGCATCACTGAGTTTCCCACATCAGCAAAAGAAATATTGTGGCACAGGTTATCATATTATTATTATTATTATTATTATTATTATTATTATTATTATTATTATTATTGTTGTTGTTGTTGTTGTTGTTGTTGTTGTTGTTGTTTTGCTGTTAGAAGTCCTTGTGTTTGCTTGGAAAAATTATCCTTAATGAGACAGGCTTGCCAAGCAAACATTCACAAGGCCTCTTCTGCTCTTGCAACAGAGTAATTAGGTCGGTGCCTTGTTCTGTGCTAGCATTAACCACTCCAAAAAGCCAATCCTGACTAGTAGTTAATGCTTAGACAAAACTGGCTGCATCTCCTGCTAATTGGTCTTGATGAAGCTGTAACATTCCCAAAGGTCATCTTTATTCTAGCAAGTTGAGAGATGGGATTGACATCCATTTCGAGGGACTGTTTGGTTTCTTTGTTGTTATCATTCATTACTGAAGTGGAATTAGCTCTTGGAAAAATACCTACAACGCGTCACAGTGAAATGTCATCCAAAATAAATAATTTTTTAAAAAACATTCTCTGCCAAACATCTTTTGAAATTATAGACAAAGGCAGCAAGAGAGCAGTTATGAGAAGCAAACCCAGGAAATTTCACTCACACGCAATATTTCTGGCTCCAGCTTTCCTTTCCTATAACCATGGACTTTTTTCCTAACAAGCTAGTTACATAGTCTATCATGTAGACTCTTTTCCCCCTAACAAGCTAGTTCCATAGTCTATCTATCAAAAAAGGGACTGAGTTTCTCTCACACATAGTTCTCCTCTATAGGGAAGATTGCAAGTTGTTCTTCCACCACTAGCTCTATTGAATTGAAAGCAGCAGTTCAAGTCAAGTCAAGTGCTTTCTTTGACTTCTCTTCTTCACTCTATTGAAGATTGTCCAGTGAAAAGGATGAATGCACAGTTGATTTATTGATTTTATTGCTACAAGGTGAGCTGTTGCTTACATAGTTTTAAAATGTATTAGGACACATATAGCTTATACTGACAGCTTCTGCTAAATTCCTCATTTTTTTTACATACATCTAAATATCATCAGATCTAGTGGCAGTGAATCCCATAGGCCAATTACATGACTCATGAAATCGCACTATCATTTATTTTTCTCAGGACTAACCTAATTCAGATCAAAACACAGTGAATTTTACCTACATGAGCAACAGAGACCAAGAATGGGAACTTCTGCCCTAGATCATTGCCATTAACCTACTAGATGAAAGTTGCTTTGTAAATACAGTTCAATATGCAGTTTTATTTAACACTCTAAGTCTAAGGAATCTCTCTTTAAACTTATATTCTGTAACAAGACCATGATTGGCTTGCTTATGCAGGCAAAGTGAAAAATGAGGTGTCAGAGGCAGGGAGACAAGAGTCTGATTCATAAATCACTGACTGGAATTAGAATTTGCCACTGTAGCATTCATGAACAAAATATCCCAACCTTTTACACAATTTTCATCCCTCTTTAAGGAACAACTTTAAGTCTTTTCAAATTCTCCATAGGGGTTAGACTGTCAGGCTGTGTCAGTTCCTTGCAGAAAAGAGATGTTGCCAAATAATCAATGGGCTCAGGCACCAGTCATTTAAATCCAGACATAATATATTAGGGTTATATTCAGAATTCCTTTGAGCAGTCAGAAATATTTGAAGATTTACTCTTTTATTTTTTTCCATTCACTGACATCCAAGTTCTTAGCAGCCTGTCATTTCTCAATGATTCATCCAAATTTTCACAGCCACTGGCAAGAGAACAGTTCATAGCTACTATTGTGTTGTTTTTTCCTTTGACAGGACCCACAATTTTGCTGTGTTCTTCAGTGGCCCTATTCATTATATACAGTTCCTGGAAAGCCACACCTCTAAAGAGCTAGATGCTGGAAGCTATGAGTGGAAATATACTTTTTCCGAAATGGCATCTCTTTGCCCTTACCAGAGGCTAGAATCACTACATTTCTCTCCCCCACTACTGACACCTCCCAGTGGCTCAAATGATTCCTTATGGTAACCACATAGTGGTCCTGAATGCTAA